ATCAGGTTTGTTTACTTTCTCGCTGCATTTGGCTTAGCAACCACTTCTACCATCGATTGCGCAACAGAGTTTGTGAGCTACACGTTGCCGTTGCGGAAGCCCATTGTCGTCTGAGCGGGGCGCAGTCGGACATTCTCTAACATTGCCATTCTCTATCACTTGTTTTGGTGCAAGCCCAGGTTCATCCAACGCATTCAGACACGGACTTTCACTTCGCAGTCAGAACACACCCTCTCCTTCGGTCGACGCGCAGCCCGATGCTTCTCTCGCATCAAGCAATGCGCGACACACCCACTTGAAGAGATAAGCGACATACATTTTGGAGCGCGTTGGCTATGGCGGCACCCCTGCTACCCACGAAATTCCCTTGCTGGTGTCGCGCAGTGTATTCATGGGGCGGTGAGACAGACCGAGATCTGGGATTTGTCGAAGGCGATCTGATAGAATGTCTCAACGCCGGGGATGGCTCGTGGTGGATGGGAAGGCTGCACAGAGACAAGAGAATGATGGGCCTCTTCCCCTCGAATTTTGTCGCTGTTCTCGGGGATGATTTCGTCCCTATGCGCCGTTCCGTCAGTCCCATGCCCGACCTACAGAAAAGCGACAGTACGAGCAAGAACCATTCAGCCCAACTACAAGAAAAGAAGGAAAAGGCAAAATCGAGGAGACCTTTCAGTGGGTATAAGCATGCCAAAGGCCCTACAGCCACCACAACAGAATTGCCCAAGCAGGCCGCCGAGTATGACCCACGAAATCCTCCGTCGACAGTGTTATGGCAGCAAAGGCCCGCATCCAGAGCTCCCTCGAGGTCTCCGTCACCCATGCCGCATCATGAAATCGGCTCTTCTCCTCCACCACCTCCTCCACCACATCGCATCATTGGTGGCCGGGCTGCGTCGCCTGCGCCACAGCCTTTCGACATGAATGACCGCTATCAAACGTTTTCGCGCACTCCATCCCCAGCACCGCCGTCCGACAGCGGACACACTCCGCCCATGATCCGAAATGCCATGGACGATGTGATATCCTCTCTTGACGATATGACTCTTGTCCGTCACGATTCAATCCAGAAGGAACCTCACCAGGAATTCAATCCGTGGTCGCCAGAAGCTTTTGATGACTTCCGTCGTCCCGAAGACCGTCCAGGCCCAAGACCGCTCACCAGCCTTGGACTCGGTGCCGGAGGAAGCTCCTTTTCAGAAGCAAGGATCAACTACAGTAGTCGTCATAACAGCCCCGACCGCTTCCAGGACGGCGAGCCTCGCCTGGAGAACTATGTGCAAAGGATGGAGAGCCGACTTCGTCGTATGCAGCAAGCGCGAGAAGCCCAAGGATCAGATCCAGTGGACAGTGATCCGCCAGAACCTCCTCCCAAAAACTCCCCATGGACATCAAGACCGAACTCATCAATGGCAGCTCGACGGCTGTCGGCTCGAAAGAGAAAATCTGCTCTAGACTTTGGGGAAGGGGGCCTTTCGAGGGCAATGACGCAGAAGACGAATTCGACCAATTCAAGCAACGGCACAAACTTTTCACGCAACACCGCGATAACGAGTCAGAGCATCATGAGTGGCTATTCCGCGGGTGCATTCAGTGCGACAAGTGCGGGCAGCTTGGCCAGAAAACGAATGGGCAGCATTCGAGACCGCATGACCCGGCCGATGACGAGCTCAGGGATGAGACATGAGCAATGGTCAGAGCCAGATATCAGGCCGAAGACTCCAACCAGTGGCGCCTCCTTCCACCCAAGCCACGACTCGAGGCAAGGGGCAAAGTCCGCGATTGGCTGGGAAGACGCAAACCGTGGTCCGACAGGCGGACTGGGAGGATTTACCACGCCGAAGGCCAAAAAACAAGGCTTCTTCAAGAAACTCATTGACACTGCAAAGACCGGCGCCGCGAGTGCCAGGAGTACCATTTCAGCAAGCCAGGCTGGCAGCACTCCGGGGTCGCCTACGAAGCTGACAGGCATAGCTGGCGGTACGGCTTTCAACGCGCCCGTCGCCAGCTCGAAATCCAACAGCTCCTTCGGGAGAGATGCTGCGAGGGAGATGGGCTTGCTGAGCGGTGCCTCAGCAGACTATATTCTCACCCGCCGTGATATAAACCGATCCAACACTCCTGGACCCTCTGAACGACAGGAACGAGCAGATCGGTGCCATATGCTCGACCAGCCTGTCATATGTCCTGTGGAGGAACTGTACGAGAACTTACAAGGCGACGAAGATGCAGATGGTCGACCTGTTTATGAGCCATTCCAGCTCAGCAATCCCAGTTTCAGCCAGGTCGACAAGGCAGCGCGCTTCATCACGAGCGTACCCAGCAGCATCACAGCGGCGACCCTCGCGACAGGCTTCATATGCAGGCCCTACCGAAGTGGCGTTCAGCGCCTCCGTGCCATCTTCATCTGGTGCGCTGAGAGGATAAGCTGGGAAGATGACCACGATTTCGACAGTTACCAGTACAATCAACCAGTCGATACCCGCAAAGTGATCCATACCAAGAGAGGGAGTAGTCAAGAAGTCGCAACATTGGTGCTTGAAATGTGCACCGCCATCGGGATTCACGCGGAGATAGTGCAGGGATATTTGAAGACACCAGGTGAAGACCTCGACTTGGACGCAATCTCTCGACCGAACCATTTCTGGAACGCTCTCCTGGTTGACAATGAATGGCGCATGATGGATGCAAGTCTTGCCAGCCCGACAAACCCCAAGCGATCACTGTATTCTAGCGTCAGCACCAGCATCGCAGAGGCATGGTACTTCCTCACTCGACCCAGTGAGTTGTGTTGGACGCATGTGCCCATTGACGACTCCCAGCAACACATGATCCCCAACATCAGCCCGGACGTTCTCCTCGCCTTGCCTGGCACATGTGCCCCTTTCTTCCGACTCGGCTTATCGATGCATGCCTACGACACGAGTATAGTCCGCATGGAGGGACTCGAAATGTGCACATTTAGTGTCAACGTGCCCGCTGACGTGGAAGTCGTGGCGGAAGTCGAAGCGCGACGATACCTCCGCGACCAAGACGGTGACGTCTACGAGGATGCTGAGAACGTCACCAAGAAACGCGCTCTCACACAGGCCAGTTGGTACAGAACCGTGCCAAACACCGAGATTTCGCAGAAACGATATGTGGTCAAGGCCGTGTTGCCGGGTGATGAGGGCGTCGCAACACTCAAAGTCTACGCAGGCAAAAAGGGGCTCATGCTCAGTTCGCGCGACATCGTCCACCCACTTGCACTGGCACTGCCGCTTTACCACAGCGGGGAGAACCCGAACTATGAGTTTGTCATGAGGCACCCGACTCCCCACGCGACTCGGCAGGACTTGTACGTCGTGCAACCGCAGTGCTACCGGCTAGGCGCGGGAGAGACATATGTCTTTTGTGTGAGACAGCATGCCGCCTCCGTGGCGTCCACACCCGCGACGGATACCAATGGCTTCGATGTCAGGCCCGTCAGTCCCAATCCGATGATGCGGCCAGCCAGCGCAATGAGCATGACGTCTTCCGCGGCAGGTTCGAATCCCAGCGACCCTTCGTCCGTCAGCAACGCCGCAGCCGTTGTGAAGGTTAAGGACAAACCGGCCAAACTGGCGATACAGTCTCCCGGTGGCAAAATCATTCGGCTGAATCGTAAGCACGAAGGCTTACCGCAGGCTAGCGGGCTGAAGGAGGTGGATGGCGAGGTGCTGGGCAGTGTGTGGGAGACGATAGTGAAGGTTGGGGAGAAGGGGATTTGGCGCGGCCTGGTACTCGCCGATCGGAGTGCGAGATGGTGTGTTTGGGGGGAGTGGGAGTGTGTTTAATGTGCTGCACACTGCATGGATACACGGCTTGCGAGGAGTTCTCTGGCCTGCGATTTCGAGCTTTGAGGATCTGGGGGCGTTGCGTAACGTAAAAGTTCTGAAAGGTCTGGAATAAGCGATTTGGCTAGGGATGTTGCTATGTTACGATGAAGAGATTGGGACGTTCACTACAGTATCTGGCAGAGAGAGAGATGGCGCAGAGGGTCAAGGCATGTGTTGGCATATCTGCGTCGTTTGGGTTCCGTGGCTTGATGTTCCGGGCCTTTCATGTCTTATGGCTCGGTCGGGTATGCAGCGAACAGGCTTCATGCTCATGGCCAGGGGCCCGGTGCTACAAGGCGCGGCCGACGGGACTTGAACAAGCGCGTGGAAATAACAGGTACATGTACAGGTACAGGTCTGTCCTGTTCTAGGAGTTTGACGATTGAAAGATGATATTCTCTGGCACGGGACAGAGGCCAGAAGCTGAGTTAGTTACTTGTTGGACACCGACTTCTTGCTGTACTGTAATTAGTCCTGTCATCGCCATGAAGTGAAGGATGACGGAAGGGACTGTAGTGACTGAAGTTCCCTACAAGACACAAGCCACAGGACCTTGTCATGAGGATGCCAGTATCCGAGCATCCAGCGCCTTCCTCCTTACTGTACTCCGTACTCCAGACTGTCGACTGTGCTCAGCAACCCCAGCACAGACATGGTGGGGATATCGGACAAGGCTGTTAAGTCCGATGTAGCTGGAGCTGGAGCGGGAGCTACTCCCTAACAGTATAGACTATCCAGAAACACGGATCTAGTTGTTGTCCTCTCGTCTGCCGACGGATTCTCCGGTAGTTTTGCCTCTGCTGAACGGCTGGGTCCCATAGCCGTCTCATGTTCAGCTCCTATATCGTCACGTGCTATCGACCGAGTGTTCAGTAATTAATCGAGGGACTCTGCAGAGCTGACTCACTTGGTCCGGAGCCTGCACTGACGGCCTTTCTCCGGCCACTGTGGACAGCCAGACTGATCGAGTCAGAACAAGGGCACATGAAATATACCACGCCTTAGTCCTTTGAACGTGCAGACGAGCAGGGCGACGACCCAGGAGCTGAGAGCACATTATATATATGGGCTACTAGTATCGCCAGCCAGCTGAAGCATCAAAGACTCCCGTAGACACAGTCGCACAAGACATTATCCAGCACCATGGCAGACGAGCCTCGCGGCTCCGCGGTCCACAGCAGTGCCACGCATTTCGACCAACTCTCCAACGTGTACGACGAGCTCGTCGGACTCCTGACGGGCGACGTGGGACGCTACGCAATTGACCATCTCATCCCCACACCGACGTCGGAGATCGTCATCCACGACAACGCCTGTGGCACGGGCCTCATGACGGCGCACCTCCAGCAGGTGGCTTCCCAGACGGGCACATCTGCCAAGAAGATCCACGCGACAGACCATGTCCCCTCGGTGACGCAGGTGATGCAGCAAAAGGCCTCGCGGCATGGCTGGATGAACGTCGAAATCTCAGTCATGGACAGCCAAGAACTCACGTTACCCGACGGCTTGTTCGACCTCTCCATCACCAACTTTGGCATCTTCTTCCTGCCCGATCCGCAGAGGGGGGCCGATCAGATATATCGCACGCTGAAACCGGGCGGCACCGCCGTTGTCACCACGTGGAAGGAGCGGCGTATCATGGACACGATCGTGGAGGCGCAGAAGATCATCAGGCCGGATCTGGAGACTTTGTACGCCCCGTGGGCCGAGCTGTGGTCCAAGGAGGAGACGCTGCGCAACGTCCTGGTGAATGCAGGGTTCCGGGCGGAGAGTATCAAAATCGTCGAGAGGAGAACGGATGCGATTGTGGAGCCCTTTCTCGGCGATCCGGATATGGTGGCTAGAGCATACCCTGCGGCAACGAAGGGGTGGACTGAAGAAGAGAGAGCCAGACTGGGGAAGGAGATGCTGCGGATTGCACAGGAACGCGATCCGCAAGGCAGAGGGGCTGGCGGGCTGTATTCGACGGCATATATCGCGGTTGCGAAGAAATAGATTTCTGGCTACAGGTGGAGTTTCTCGAGTGCCGCATTAACAGCCGTTTTACCGGCTTGGTCGACACGAATTCAACATCTGTGGAGACGTCCGAAATGGGACGATCATTCTGGTAGAGGAGGATCAACCACTGACGGGGGTCGCAACGATGATGCCGTTACGGTACTTGTGAGGAGTTCGTCAGGCGCGCCTCGGGTGGCCTCTTTTAACTACGATGGTGCTGCATTGCCCGGTGTAAGCAATACGCTGCGTGCTATCACGGCGCTGGCTTTCTTAACCCCGGCTTCAGTCCGTGCCGTGCTGATTGATCCCCGACTAATCACTGATGTGGTAATCGGGATAGAGCCTCAAACCTGGGGATGACACTGTATGACTCGTGAGGCCCATCGAACCATGCAAGTCCTGGCTCTTATAGTCAGCATCGCAGTATACAGAATCAACGCACTACGCCGCGCTACACCCCTTTCAGGAAACCTTCAGCTTGGCAGATCTTCTTGCCTCTGTGGGTACTAACGGCGTCCGCAATCACGTTCTGTGACCTCGAAGAGGTAATGCGCTCAGCAGGTCGAAGCCTTAGAGGGTCGCTTAGTTGGTCTGGTCCAGCGACACGTCCGGTTTCCAGCTCAGATTCGGAGTCATTACTAGCGGATGCGCCTGATTGAGTTTGGCTTCCTCGCTTTGCAGGCTTACCCAGTGATGAGCTGAAACTTTCGTCTTTAACAGCCAATCATGCGTCGTATGCATTAACCCGTCCTTGGGTGCCGGAATGAGGGGGGCCGATTCAGAGCGCGAATGAACGTGTACCAAGGAATGCTTGGTGCGCTGGCCTGAGATATCGCTGTCTGTATCAACTAATATATAACCTCGGTGATTTGCGGTGTCGCGAAAGCTCCGTTAAACACGCGGATTCGGCTTTCCCCATCCTCCGTATCAGATTGACCAAGACAAGGAGAGCAACACGCCTAACCACAGCGACATGTCAAGCAAACCTGTTATCGTCTTCGTACCAGGAGCATGGCACACGCCCGACAGCTTTCACCTTGTCACAGCTGAGCTGCAAGCGGCAGAATACGAGACCAGAGGCGTGGATCTCGCATCGGTGGGCGCACAAACGCCACTCAAGGACTTCTGGCCCGACGTCGAAGCCATTCAACGAGTCCTCAAACCGCTTGCAGACGAAGGGAGAGACATCGTGCTTGTTGTGCACTCATATGGCGGGGTGATTGGGAACCAAGCGGTACAAGGGTTCGTCAAGTCTGAGCGAGAGAATGAGGGCAAGAAGGGTGGCATATCGCACATCTACTTCTGCTGCGCCTTCGCGCTGCCCGAGGGTGTATCGTTGATGGACGCGCTCAACAATAAACCCCTACCTTGGTTTCAAATCAACGACGCTCAGGATACCGTCACACCAGCAACGCCCATCGAGACCTTCTACAACGATGTCAAGGAGCCGGAGAAGTATGTGAACATGTTGAAACCGCACAGTTATCGCACCTTCGCCTCCAAGGTCACCTATGCTGGTTGGAGACATGTTCCCAGCACGTATCTGCTGTGCGAGAAGGATGAGGCGATCCCAATACATGCACAGAAGGGAATGGTTGAGGCTGCGCAACAAGCAGGAGCTGATATGAAGGTTGAAACTGTCAGTGCGAGCCATTCCCCATTTATGAGCATGGCCGAAGAGATGGCACGGTCGATTAGAAGGGCCGCAGGCGAGACAGTGTAAGAAGCCTCGGAACCTAGGGATGAGCTGGGTGTGAATCACGAGGTGAGCAGGAAGTGAGCAGGAAGTGAGGTAGAAATGAAGTAGAAGTGAAAGAAGTAGAATATCAATCCACTTAAATCCCCGCAAGGGAAATGCTCTCATTGGCCAGCGCTGACTGTGCTGCAAGGGCCGAGAAAAAGATTCCGATTTCCTCCCCGACTTTTTTCTCATGGCACAAGCAGGTAATAATTCCCTTGTCCAGAAGCAGAGACGAAAACGACCAGCCAACGGTAATACCTTTTGCCTTTCGTGTAACTCCAGATTTGCTTTTCAAGATATGTGACTGTTCTCCCACTCCCTTCCCAAATATCTGCATCCTCAAAGCATGTTCGTGCAATAGTCCCGACGACAGCCCGCCATGGATCAGAGCAGCTCTTCTCCCAAGCCTCCGTCCCCAGGTGGCAGCGACGTCGCGTCCCCTCCGCCTGCCCCTCCGCCGCTCAAGCCCAAACCTCGTTCTGCGGTGCCGCCTTATCTGCTAAACGGCTCGTCCCCCCTAAAGAGCTCGCAGCCCACCAAAACTCGTGCCCAGGAGCGCGAGAACCTCCATACCTCCATACAGTCGACCTACGGGCGACGGAAGACGATAGACCTCACCGCAGAGGCACAGACCACACAACAAGCCACTATGCCCGCGGGCACATCGTGGCTGGGGTTGGAGAACGCGGCAAAACATCAGGAACGAGAACAACAAGATTCAAAGCGTCCGTCACAATTACATACGCCCGCTCGGGATGAGAGAGACGAAGCCCCGCCCACGCCGCCGGCCTCGACACTCTCTCGCCCGGCCAGCCCTTACACCCAGAACCCGGCTATCGACTTTGACGGTCTGTCCTGGCCGTGCATCGGCACGCGACAACGCCTAGAACAAAGCCCCGAGGAAGCCCAGGTCCGATTGGACAAGCTGGCCGACGCGGTGCGGACCATATTCGAGTGTATAGGAGAAGATCCCGACCGCGAGGGGCTGAGGGACACCCCGCAGCGATACGCCAAGGCGCTGATGTACTTCACCAAGGGGTACGAGGAGAATGTGCGAGATCTGGTGAACGGTGCTGTATTTCACGAAGATCACGACGAACTGGTCATTGTCAAGGATATCGAGGTGTTCAGTCTTTGTGAACATCACATGGTTCCTTTCATCGGGAAAATGCACATAGGGTATATTCCCAACCGACGCGTGCTGGGTCTGTCGAAACTGGCGAGGCTGGCTGAGATGTTCTCAAGAAGACTGCAAGTGCAGGAACGCCTGACCAAGCAAGTCGCCTTGGCTATCGCCGAGGTGCTGAAACCGCAAGGTGTTGCGGTGGTGATGGAATCAAGCCATTTGTGCATGGTCATGCGAGGCGTCCAGAAGACGTCCAGCAGCACGACCACCAGCTGCATGCTTGGCGCGATGAGGAGTTCCGCAAAGACAAGGGAGGAGTTCTTGAGCTTGTTGAATCGAGGCAAGTAGTGGACGGCATGATATGAAGCGGGACACGATAGGATAGCACGAGGCAATGACTGCAGCACAGGGCGGAGTTCTGGCGATATTTCAACATGACAAAAAACAACAGGGTGGCGCCTCAACGGCAGCTGTTGTTCGAATACCCGAGATTGGAAGCGGTTTTGCGAGGTTGGACGCTGGGTTAGGATAGGAATACACAGTTTTGTGTGTGGCGTCTCACATTTCGGTTTTCAACGCATCCAAGTGAGATAGTGGGTGCTCAACTCTTCCTACATTTCCATCCACTCTCTATCAGTGTGACACATCTCATGCGGATGCTCCATGAGCCGAAAAAGGTGTCACACGGGATGAGACGTAAAAAGGCTTCAGGGGTCGAGGAATGAACCCAAACATGCTACAGTAGATTCATATTGTACGAGCCAGAAGATGCACCCCACAGGGAACAGAAGCAGTCGCTGCGCCGGGCAGCGGACCTGCTACGCCAAGTCAACACTGGATATCACGACTTATGGGGTCCAGTAGCCCTGCTGCAGGACTGACGGTCGTGAGGAAGTGCCAACTGACCTTTATTGTTGCATCTCTGTGCAGCGAAGACTGCCCAGTGCCGTACAGTAGGCTATGTACAAGACAGAAATTTTCGGCAGTACTACACTCTGTCATCCCGTACAAGTTATCTGTCCGGGCAGATCCGTCAAGTTGGTCGTTTAGAACTGCCGTTGGCCTCTCATTATCACATTTGAGACTGAGCTTTCGCTGTGACGACACTGTGACCTTCATCATTCAGAGCTCCATATCCCGTCCTGTTGGCAGTTGGCAGTTGGGCTTGAGGCCGACAGTGGGATGTATGGAGCCAGTCTCGATCGAAAGTCGAGAGTCGAGCTATCTCTCATTGATCTGCTTGCAAGGAGCGAGGCACGGCTGTGGGCTGTGTCTTCCCAGTCTCGGGTCTGGGTCACTGGAGAAGAGGAAGTTATGCCACGGAGGGAATTGTGACGTTGTATGCCCTCCAGTCTACGTGCCTGTGTACAAGCTGGGCCTGCGACGGGTTATCTGGGGCCTGTGTTCCGCAGTGACGCCGCCAAGGGCGTCGTATATTGATCCTGGAAGTAAGGTACGCTCTAGTTATCATTACCTATTAACATTTACTTGCGTGGTTGTCGGTGTATACTCCTCTGCTGGCGTCGTGTCCTCCGAACTCAGTCAGCATCCTACTTCATAACCACTCAGACTCTGATTTGCTACCGTTTGCCTATCTCTCTGCTCTTTTGGGCCCGTATTTGACTCCGGAATACTCCGTACATTAATCGAATATCAAGTCGAATCTGTGTACACCTGAGCCATCATGCCACAGAAGAGCAGAACACGAAGCACCGACACATGGCGCGAAGTACTCCTTTCGTTCGTGCCTCGATGCTCCTTACAGGAAACGGTGGCCGATCGGACAGTTGGTGACAATCCCAGCGTCGCTCAGGGGCGAACCGTCCGGGTTGGTCACGTAGCCGGCAGCCGCCATTCCCAGCACCTCGAATTCTCCGGTCAGCCTGGTTCGGATTCCATTCTCGATGCTGTAATTTGTCCAGGAGTACAGGTTGAAGTTCCACAGGGGCGAGTAATCTGAGAAACAACAGGTCAGCGCAGGTCACCACCAGGACAGATCAGAGCTGAGCTCCGATGTAAAGGTAATGAGGAGGAGCACACGGCACGGCATACCATAAGCAACAGTTGGAATCGCTCCGAGTATGTTCAAAGGATTTCCTTCTCCGAGAATAGCGCTGTTCAAACCCTGTCGCCAGGGATGGTGCGTCTCGTTGTTCGGCGCCCCAGGAGGGAGATCCTGGTTGGTGTACCCATTCGTGCTGACGAAGAAGCGCTCGATGCCGCTGAAAAGAGAGTCGTCGCCACCTGTGCGGATGGCTCTCAGGCGCTCCGCGTATGTGCCGCCATCCAGCGTGGCGGGTAAGGGGTCTGACGCGTCAAAGACCAAGTAGAGCACCGATTTTGAAAAGGAAAAGCCGCGCACCGTGGCCAGCGTGACGACTTCATCGCGAGGGCAGATCGAAAGCACTTGATCGTGGACTTTGCTGCGGAACTCGTCCAACATGTTATCCGGGATGCCGTCGCAGAACTAAACGCAGGCGGGTGGTTAGTACCAAATCAGAGACAAGTTGTAATAAACCTGCGACTACTGGGACAGCTCAGAGGCGTACCTGGTTCAGATAATCTTCGTCCACGTCACCCGCAATGATCTGTTGCGAGGTTGGTGTTAGCTGGAGGCCCAAGCACAAAACGGGGTCCCCGAGCCAATCTCACCGGAGCATTATACACTTCGTAACCAGCATTTGTAAGTTGGATCAGCGGCGTATAGTATTGGTCGCCTACGCTGCCGGGCTGGACCGACTTGGGTGGAAAAGGGGATGCGTCACCCGGGACGATGTTCCGCACGGGTGAGAAGTCGACCATGCCTCGTCGTCCATAGACGGTGTTGTTGACGACTTCGAGCTGTTCAGCACCTTTGAGACCATCGCTGGTCATGCCTTGGGCCGCGAATCGGAGCTTCGGCGCAAAGTTGAGGCCCAGCTGTTTGGCGTTGCCCTCGTCCGAAGAGTCGATGATGACCCACCAATATGTGGTGTTTGCTGCTGAAGTTCCCTGGTACAAGGGCATGGTGAAGTTCGGCTTGACACCAAAGTTTACATGTCCGTTGCGCAGCAGGTCGACGGGTCCGACAAGCTCGTGCTCTTCATACGACGCAAACGGGCCTTGATACCCAGCTGCTATTGCGGTAGCGAAGGACGGGTCGGCGATGTCGATGGTAGGATCGTCGTACCCGGAATCGGGGCCTGGCTGGAACTCCGAGGGGAAGTCTTGTCGTGGACGGACGGTTCCATGCTGGAGAGGACTGGCGGAGGTCAAGTGTGCGGCGGTGAGAAGGAGCGCAGCGGTGGTGGCCCTCATCTTGAAGACTGACTCGGAAAGAAAGGCTGAAGCTTGTCACTGGTTAAGAAGAAACTAGGAGTCAGGGGAATGCGCTTCTTATTTATCTCCATGGCAGCTGTGCTTGTTTGGTCAAGTCCGCCTACAGTGGCAAGTGTGATGAGGATGAAGCACGACGGATTCCAGTTTGCGTCTGTATCGTCTGTAGGCTGTGCAAAAGGATTAGTTACAGCGGATGGATACATCCGGTTGTCCCGCCGCTGAAGTTGAATCATCAAATGTTACGCTTTCGAGTCAACTGAACGCGACTAGACATGATATCGGGATTTGATATCCTCGCCCACGCTTGGCCCGATGCCGTTGGCGGCGATGATGCGGCTATTCATGGTCGGGATAATGGCTGAATAGAGAAATCTGCCGTGGTTGATTGTCTAGCCTTGCCAAGGCATGTCCGAGGACATTCGTTGCAGTGGAAAATGACTTTTGTTCATGATGCTTTGCTTACTGTGGAGAGACTTCGAGATGATTACGGATCAAGTTACGAGTACTCCGTACTACGTGCTGTGAGCCGATTCGCCTATCGTGCGGATGAGCCGCGTGCGAAGATTCGCATAGCATCTGACGGACTAGCCTAGATATCCATTAGTGCCTTGTTAAGGGCACAGGGCGATCCAATGTATCTCATCAGCCGGAGATTGTGGCAAGTAGCCACCATTCCTGTGTCACTTGAGTCGCGGAGACTGCGCTCGAACGCACCGACCGTCGCCTGGAAATGGTCCGTCTATTGAATTAAGAGTGGGCATGAATGCGGCTGAGGTTGCCTTACAACAATGGTAGGATTGCATTGGGATCCCTAACATTTTCGAGGACACTCTGTCTGGTAGGGCAAGCGGAGCTGTAGGCAGAGCGGAAAGACCATGGACGGAGCGATGCGGTGCCAGTGACAAGTTCAGGCCCAATCAATATGACATCCTGACTCCGTCCCGAGCCCCACCAGTGTCGACCCTCTATAGATAGAATGGGAGGTTCGGTGGCGGCAGGATGGTCAACAACCTCCACAACGTAGGATATTTGGCAACTTCCAGGATACGTTGATTGCAGAGCTTAGGTCCCTCTTTGCCCCGGCAGGAAATAGACCGCAATCGCCTTCTTATGGGAACAGGGTATCCCGTCCATACCAGGCCGACCGTGTGCCACAAGCTCACCTTTGAGGGCGTAAATACAGGATATACTTCCATACTATCCACCACAACTGCGAATATCACTCAGAGGAGGAGAAGAGAGGCCGGCGGGATAGACTCGGTGTATCTGCTTGTCGTCTAGAACCACCACGCCTGTGTGACCACGACACTGTGATCCAATTCGGAGGACATTATGAATTCAGAGTTCAGTGAGACGCCTGACAGTATTTTCTGAGGGCTACCTGCAGTGGTCTAGGTACCTACGTAAATTATACCAACGCTTACCTCAAGGACCTCGAATGCGGGGTATGACGCATTTAGCGCTGCTGTGAAATTCCGGGGAATGACTTCCGGGCACGCCGGGGTTCTTCAGTCACAGTCTGTCATTTGAAAAGTGACCAGCGCTTTACTGTACCACAATACCAGTCTTACCGAGTCCGTCCCCACACCTGCGTAGCAAGGGCAAGCGGGGTGTTCCCCTCCATAACTCGTACTTGCACTGGTTACAAAGTTCCCATTCCCGCGCTGCCTCTACAAACAGGCGAATGGGCTGTAAGTGGCTGTCTTGCTAACATGTCGGGCACCACGTGGGTGGCTATGCCTCCTTCGCTTGCACATCACATACAAGGCACCGGGCTGTGTTGCCCTGGGCCGCTTCGATGACTACAGAGCCTCTTTTCAGCCTGATGGCCTTTTTTCAAAATGCCATTGAACCATCGTTGGGCCAATTGCGGCCATCGTCCAGGACGGACTGAGTGTTCACGAAGACGTTCGATCGCGGGCTCATCATCGTCCCGTATTCACTACACACCCTCTTCTACCAGAAATCACCGTTCTCTCAGCGGCACCGCTAGACCCGCCTCCCCATGCCAGTTCACCTACCCAACAGCCATCTCGCGGGAGGTTGCGACGAGCAATTCGGCGCTCTCGAGTGAGACCACCTAGTGTGACTTCATCTACGGAGCGAACATTCCCTTGCTGCGGTCCAAGAACGAACCAACACGATGCGCCTTTTGAAGACTGACGGTCCAGGTGGACTCAGCCCTTACCGAAGACCTCCATGACAACCTTCCCGCCTACGCCATCCTCTCTCACACTTGGGGAGACGATAAAGACGAGGTCAGTTTCGTCGACCTCAGAAGTGATTCATGGAAGAATAAGGCTGGGGCCGCTAAGATCTGGTTCTGTGGCGAACAAGCTAAAAAGGATAATCTGACACATTTCTGGGTGGATACATGCTGCATCAATAAAGCCAACCTTACTGAATACTCCGAGGCGATTAACTCGATGTTTCGCTGGTACCGCAACGCGGACAAATGCTACGTCTATCTAGTAGATGTGTCATCGCTCAGCGGAGACGGCGACTCTCGCCAGACGTGGCAGCAAGATTTTCGCGAAAGCAGGTAGTTTCAACGCGGCTGGACTCTTCAAGAGCTTCTAGCTCCTACGTCGGTCGAGTTCTTCTCGCGAGAAGAACAGCGACTGGGTGATAAGAAGGCGCTTGAACACCTGATCCACGAGATTACGGATATTCCGACCACGGCTCTGCGCGGTGCCGCCTTGTCTCAATTCAGCGTGGACGACCGTTTGCGGTGGGCAGAAAACCGGGACACCAAGAAGCAGGAGGACAAGGCGTACTGTCTACTTGGGATCTTCGGGTGTGTTTATACCTCCGATCTACGGTGAAGAGGAGTATGCATTTACCCGACTCAAGGAAGACATCAACAAATCTCTGAGAGGTAAATCTTCGCTCGTCATCCTATTTGTAGCTTGCGAGTTGCTGACCTAGCCAGGCAATAGCCCAGCGAGTGGCAACGTATATTAAGTAGTGTCTCGCTCGCCCAACACCTTATTCACAGGGAGAAGAGACATGCTTAATAAGCTGGAAAGGACTGTCCGCGCCACGGTACAGTATAGCTGGGATAGCAATCAATGTCGTGTAGTTATCGCGGGCCTTAATGGCCAGGGTAAGAGCGAGATCAGCTTACAGCTTACGCAGCGCGTCCGGCCGCTGTAGGTCACGCTCCTGGTTTCTCGTGGCGATGCTTTTTGGCTTAACTAACTCGGGTCATCCACTTCGACTGGTGTCGCAGCATACGCTAGCTGGAGCATATAAGGCGAATGGACGGGTCAAGGATGCGATGCAGCTACTGGAAGAGGTGGTACGGATTGAGCAGACCCTGCCGGAGGACGAGTCAGCTCGACTGGCATCACAGCACGAGTTGGCACGAGCGTATGAGGCGAATGGACAGATCAAAGATGCGGTGCGGCTACTGGAAGAGGTAGTGCGGATTGAGCAGACACTAGCGGAGGACGGTCCAGCTCGGCTGGCGTCGGAGCATGAGTTGGCACGATTGTATAGGGCGAATGGACAGACTGAGAGGGCAATCAAGCTGCTGGAGGAGGTGGTGCGGATCCAGCAGACATTGCCAGAGGACAATACCCGGCGACTGGCGTTTGAGCACAATCTGGCCCTTTGCTTATGGGAACTCGGTCAGCACTTTCCGGCTTTGGAGATGATGAGGCATGTCGTGGAGACTTCCAGACGGGGACTTGACCCTGATCATCCTAATCGTATAGGAGCCGAGCGAGCGTTGGAATACTTCGAAGAGGAATATCGTAAGTGTGGGCGTGTAACATGAGCCATGCCTCAATATAGTCCGTGGCAGCTCCTTCAGGTTGCGGTCAGTCATGACATTCCATTTCGAAATTAACCTATGTTTCCACAGCGATAAGGAGCTGCCACTTGTGCAGCGATCCGAGAAGCAGTGAAGCCTGTACCAGTAGATTCTAATCAGTCGAGTCCCCTTGTATAGGCGATCCTGAGATGTTGTATCTTGTTCGTACATGTTTGTCAGAGGAGGCAACCTGAACAGGGAGATCAAAAGGAGGTCCCGCCAAGGCCACGTGATGTTGAGCCCAGGCGTGAGGTCACGGGTGGAGCGGAGGAACATCCGCGACCAACGCCGGTGCGGGGTATTTATAGATCCCCTCACCTTCACTACCAAGTCACTTCCGATAACGCAGTGGATTTTGACGTCTTGTGGCACTCCCGAGGCTCAGAATCCCAATTGCTGCGATCATGTAATCGAGGGGTTGTGATTGAAGCACGGAGAAGCACACAATCTGAACCAGGTACATCGTCCAGGCAGGACTCCACAAGTACGGCTTTGGGGCGGTTTTGAATTTCTCATCCTCCCAGTCGACCTGTATCACCAATCTCGTTCCAAGGTTGATGATCAAAACCGCTGTATGGACACATTCTAGACTTCTTTCCCGTTGCTTCGCGCGTAGACTCGCCCACTCAGCTGTTCGTGCTCCACACATCATCAACGAAATCACCAAAATGCCTGCCCCTCCCCAGCCCGAGCTGCCGCATCCCGCGCATCTCGACCAAGATTCTGCGCTGGGTCGAAAGTTCGGTAAAGAGGTGACGAACTACTTTGGAGGTGCGTGCAGTGGCACAATCATTCAGACCCAGAAGCATTGACTAGACCAGGCTCGCCCATCAACCGAGTGTCCTTTCTGCGCGACGACAACACCTTTCTTGCCGGCGCATTCTCCCACCCTTCCGCGAGATTCCTCGTCTTCAAGACGCTGTCCCCCCTGATAAAATCGCCGACCGAAATCCATTACGCCGCATTAGATGACCTCAAGTCGCTTCTCCCTACGAATCCGTTCGACAGAACCGAGAAGGAAATAGTAGACGACTTTGACTCGCGGATAGATTACCCTCAGTTGGTGTTTTTGGGCCTAGACGAAAAAGTCAAGGATGGATACTCGTACAAGAATTTCACGGGAGCGCCGCATTGGGCCGTGGACATCACGCCCAAGAAGACGTTCGAGAAGGAGGCCAAGGAATTGAGCGACACGTTCGTAGCGTCCGGGTTGAAGTTCAGTGAAGGCATGAGAGCCATGAGTTTCCCCGCTGATGTCGGTGAGTTTGATATACGTCTCCCCGGCGGATCACTCGACACTAATTCGCAACCAGCCGCCGAGTACGCACAGGGCCGGCACTACCTGGACTGGAACTTCCGCAACACGTTCTGCGGCACGTGCGGGCACAAGACCTTTTCCGTCCACGGCGGAGCCAAACGAGTCTGTCCACCGAAAGACAAGGCCGAGACACTGCAAGAGCGAGAACCTTGTTCGACGCGGACCACGCTGTCAAATCTCACATTCCCTCGGACCGACCCTACCATCATCGTGGCGGTGCTCAGCCACGACAGCAAGCGTCTCCTCCTAGGTCGCCAGAAACGGTGGCCGCCGCACTGGTTCTCCACGCTCGCGGGATTCATTGAACCCGCCGAATCCGTTGAAGACGCGGTCCGGCGCGAGGTCTGGGAAGAATCCGGCGTCAAACTGTCGCGCGTACTGGTTCATTCGACGCAACCCTGGCCATACCCAGCGAATCTGATGATCGGTGCGATCGCGCAGGCCGCCTCCCCCGAGGACGAGGAGATTAGACTGGAATTCGACCCGGAGTTGGAAATCGCCAAGTGGTTCACACTGGAGGAAATCCAGGAGGCGTTGGCGAATGGGACCAGTGGGTTAGGAGACCCGGCGCCAGAGGGGTACAAGGAAGGGAATCTAAGGTTGCCTCCTCCGACGGCCATTGCCAACCAGCTGATTTCGGCGGTGGTCAAGGGCGGCTTCTTGGAGGGCGTGACGCCGATCACGAAGTTGTGAGGTAGTGGGAGAGCTTTGGTGCCGCCTAGGCCTTCTCACTCACCAGAAGAGGAGTCATCATAGGTGGCACCGCGTCGGGAGGAATCTGGGACTTCAACGTGGTCAAGTTGTGGCGCCTCCCAACAGGACCGCAGTCATCGGCACATACACTTCGACGCTCATGTCTTCCGTATCTCATGCCGCGGGAGAGGGCTCGGACGAAGCATATGCTGGGAAATCATATCGAGAGAAGGACACAAATAGATTCTAGTTTTCATGCCATCCTAGACACCGGCAGTCGGTCAGCCAGCCAGCCAGCCAGTCAGTCAGTTGCATAGAACGCTTCAGCATATACATAGGTATACAATACGCATACGAGCAGTATCCACGATAGAATAGTACTGTATGGCATGGCATAGTCTCATCTAGACCGCTCCACGCCAACCCCCTAACTCAGTCTTCCATCCTCCCCCTTCTTGACTCCAACGACGACAAAATTCCTCGGACTCAAAGCATAGTCAAAGACGACATCGACCCAGGCATCACGCACACACTCCTGCTCCCGGAGAAACAACCAGCGGTCCACAACGATGATGCTCTCGACCACGCCCGCGCTAAACGCCATGAGACTCCAAATGACCGCGAGATTCTTCTTGGCATAGGCGTAGCGGGCTTCATACGCTTCAACATTCTCGTCCGTCAGATCGCGCGTGAGCTGCGCCACCATGTCGCCATCGACAGGGTCGGCGCGCAACTTGGCCAGCGCCCCACGCACGTAGGCGCGGAACGTGACGAAACAGGCCTTGCGCAGCGATCCCACGATCAGGGGCGTGCCTTGGTCGTCGCGGCCCGTGATGCTCCCGCCGGCGACCTGGCTGGGCATGCCCGGGTCGGGACATTGCTTGACCACGCCCACGTCCAATAAGATCTTCTGGAGCAGCGTGCGGTAGAAGTGCCGGCGGAAGAACATTTCGCTGTCGAGTGGGCCCCAGTTGTAGGGCGCCTGGACGGCCATCATGCGCGCCGTGATGTTGAGTCTGACGCCAGCCACGGCGACAGCCACAGCCTCGGGATCTTTTGGTGGCACGAAATCCTCGAGCGTCTTGGACATGGGGAAGCCGTGCGGGTCGTATGCGCCGCCTGTCGCGGCCAGGCGCGGGTGGTTCGGGCGGAGTTGTGGCAGTTTGTACGTGACTGGGCCGAGGCGTTCGGTGAGTAGGTTGTAGCAGCAGCCGATGACGGCGCAGGCGCGGATGGACGGCGTGAGCACGAGCGAGCGCAGCGCGTGGTGCGTGAGGTTGCCGCACGAGTGTAGCGAGATCACTATCGAGGGCGGGTGTTTTTGCAAGGACGGCGGGATTATCTCCATCCTGCCGTCTGAGGATTCTTGGTCGTCCCCGTCGCTTTCGCGTCTCGTCGGTGCTGAACAACAATCTGCCTGTCCTTGTGCTTGGTCTTGTGGTGCTTGTGGTTGGCGGGCCGACCTGGGAGTCGCAGGATAGATAACGTCCTCCAGGTATCCATCTTGAATGTCATGCTCAATGTACGTCATGCTGCCTTTCCCTTCTTCAATTTCGATGCCCACAATTTTCGCCTCTGTCAGGGAAGGATCTGGTGCCGTAGCAGTAGACACTTTCTCTGAGGGAGACTTTGAACGCGTATCCTCAACCGGTAACGGCGGCGGCTCCAGTGTCACATTCTTGGTCCCGTTCTGATTTCCGTTGCCGAGCCCAAGCTGGCGTTTCCACTCCTTCTTGTTCCGCATGACTTTTTCCTTCTTTGCCAGTTTCGCGTGCACGTCCATGCTCTTCGCGCCGGTGATATTGTGGTGCCGTTTCTCAATCGCAACGACCTGCTTATTGTACGGCGGCGAAGCGAGTGTCCGGCCCAGGTAATTCTGGCCGGATCCAAAATCAACCACAGTCAGGGGTTCCTGGTCCGGATGTTGCGAGGAGAGTTCATCGCACAGTTGACCCACGTACGCAGCAACGTTCGTCACTTCGTGCGCCTTCTTGGTCTTCATACCCACGGCGACATGCGGTGGTAGTTCTGAGATGTTCTCCGAGGGTGGCGTGAATGTCCGTTTGAGGTTATGTTTTCTGATCGTGCAGATATAGTCTATCAGACTGGCTGGAGGATGTGGCGTTGTGGTGTCTGAGTTTTCTGACTTGCGATCCGAGTACCTGGCTAGATCATCGCGCATGAGTAGATCGAGGACCCGATCAATGTCGACCCGCTCGAACCAGTCGCGCCATTCTTGCGGCAGCACGGTGGTGTAGAGATCGGGTTCCCGCGTGAGAAAGTCCAGAATATGTACTCCGCCACAGAGATTGCGGAAGAGATCTGAGGTCGTTGCAAAGGTGAGCACCGACTGAACGTACTCGTCTTCCGACTTCCACGCTGGGTCGAGGGGCAGGCGAAGCCCGCCTGGTCGGTGCCTCGAAAAATGCGTCATGGTCCTTTTTTTTAACAGTCTTGTTGCTGTCATCCGCAATTGCACTGACAGGGTTCTTCTCGAACGTTCAGTCTCCACAGCTACGATCTTTTGAGTCGTCTACAACGGTTTGAGGGACCGACACTCCGCGTCGCTCGAGGAAAGAAAAGGACTTTGATGCCAAGGCACTAGCGCCATCCCGGGTCCATGGGCGAAAAGGGGCAACAGCCTCGACAAGAGCGAGAAGCATGAAGATTTCGCTCTGTGCTCACGCAAGATGGTCTATTGGAAAGGTAGTCAGGCGCTGCTCTTGGCTGTGTAATGTGTGTGAATAGCATTCATGGGACGGCAACGCCACTGTTCTGACGCTCCAGGACTACGCTGGAGTAGTTCTACACGATCAGATACGACAGTGGAGGCACCATGTGAGCACAGCTCTGGGCATGGAATACTGAGAACTCATACTGACGGTTGTCCTGGAAAGTGGCAGGCTCCAAGGTACATGTAGAATACCCTACTACTACGTATGTCTTAACGATGCAGCACGGTGCTGTCTCGGTAATGTCATCTGTACAGAGCAGTTCTTCTGCAGATCCACCATTGCGATTCACCAGCAATCCGGAGCCACATTGCTAGTCGAGTGGGCCGTGCACAACGTCCGATATTCTTTCGACGTTCAATAACAGCTTCACTATCGATCGTGTACTACTCGAATGTAGCGGAAGCTCGCACGCGCGGGTCCTGACACTGTTGTGGATACGCTGTCATGGCGCCCATTCTTTTCCATGAGGCCACCGAATCCTGCAGCCATGTTTTGCTGTCTGACTCTTGCTTATTTAGATGTTCGCCCTTTCTTGTGCTTGCTAGCAGGTACTAGTCAAGTAATGGTGCAAGAGTTGCAGACACTTCGAGGGAGAGGTGTCTCGCAGTGTCGATCGTTATCTTTGTGCCTGCAAATCTCGGTCAGCATTGTCACACTGACATGGGCTTTCTTCCTACTAGAATCGTTCAAGGCATACCTGTAAACGAGCACGTTCACGCCTCAAGGCTGCAAAAGCCTGTCAGCATAGTCCCAGTAGGTCGGCACAGAATGTCCTGCCTTCTTCCAAGCACAACTCCCGAGGTGTCTTGCCATGTTTTCCTTGTAGTCGCTCCAGCCGCACCACTGGCAGTAATTGATGAGCCCATGAGGACGGAAATTTCTTGGCTCCTGGTTCCCGAGCGCTACTTGTTGCTCGGAGGCATCCGTAGCTTTGGCCTCGGATTTCGTGTCAAGGCTTCAGGCAATTTCTGTCACGACTCGCCGGATGTCGCACTCTGAAAAGCGACTTGATTCCATCATAGTTCCGAAAGACGTAGTGCGGGTGGGAGGAATTCGTGCCATTTGGGTAGTGGGGACACGAGTTACGCGCGGAGCTTCGGATGATGTTTTGATTGCAGACCTTGGAGTGATTTGAAAGTGGAGTGAAGGTCAAGTGGATGTGAGGTACCTTTCACTCTGAGACACACAGGCAGTAGAGTTTCCATCCACCGTCACTGCAGATGGACAGCGTAAGGTTCGTTTGTCCTCAGTCCAGTCCAATCCATTCCTGTTCGCCACCATCACCATTCGTGATGCCATTGGTTTTTGGATGGTCGCCTTCGCCCAACCAATGTGGAGCAACATCACCTTGGCCATCAGGGCCATGACACAGGAACTCGATCTCAAAAGCGTTCCGCTCACTGAGACTTCGGACTGTCCTGCCTATACCGTCGACGCCTCGAAGAACGCCACGAAGCTCGGCTGCAAAATCAGCTTGTTTCTCTTTGACGTATCGACCATGGACGCTCAATATTTCCCCGAGCCAACGCAGTGCGAATTCCAGGTGAGGACTATTCTCCATTTGCTGCGCGACAAGCATCAATAGCCGGCCTAGGTACACCCGTGGTAGTTCGCGCACAACTAAGGGGATGGTCTCAAAGGGCACAGATTCGTAGGTTTGCCTCAGCAACGTCTTGTCGTTCAGCCTGAATGCCATAACCAGAGCCTTGAGAGTCTCCGGCTCGGCTTGTGCAAGAAGAGCTCGAATGTTCTGGGGCGTGACCTCGATGTCAAGATCGAACGGGTCAAAGTCGTCGGCCCCAACGTCGTCCAAGCTGTAGATCAACAGTCCTTCCGTACTCGCTGCACAGAAGCTCCTCCCAGTCGGTGCAAATTCGAGATCGGTCACCCTCACCTCTGGTCTCAGGGTCCTGGACGTTGCATCTCTGCCACGTTTTACCCCAGGCAAACTGCGATCGATCCGATCTTCGAGATCGCTGGCCTCCCCTTCTGTGTCGATCATACCGTTCGGCAAGCCATTCGACATTATAGCGGCGGAGTTGAGGAACTCCTGTGTCCCATCCAAGCTCATGTTGACCGAAACGGTAAATTTCTTGATCAAGGTCAAAGTGCTAACGGAGTACAGACAGATGTACTTGCTATTCCCGGCAGCAAGGAGACAGCTGCCATCTGCAGAGTAGGTGATTGAGTTGAACGATTTTGTCCCGGGAGTGGATGCTGCCGTGCGGCGCGAAGTCAAGGTACGTCCTCCACTGACGTCGCGACGACCATCGACGCCAGACTCTTGAATGGAGGTGTTGAGGTTCCAGAACGTGATAGCGCCGTCGAGAGTAGAGGCGGCAATCTGTGCTGAATCGGGTCGGATGGCAATGCACAAGAGGTCGGACATGAGTTGCAATGACTCAGAAGTCTGGGACCGGTCAAAGACGGACCATATCCGAATGGTATGATCCCATGAACCGGAGATGAGGTATCGTCCATCAGGAGTAAACGCAAGTGTTGAGATCGGGCCCTCGTGTCCGGCGAGCTGGTCGAGGAGAGCTCCTGTCTGCACCGACCACAGATGAATGTCGAAAGAATCATGGGATGCGGCGCAAACCACCTCTGCGGATGAGTCAATTGCGAGACAGGAGAAGGACAGTCTCTGAGGAGCCGTGAAAGTCCTGAAGTTACGGTACCTGAGCATGTCCCATGCTCGCACAGATCCATCCAGAGACGAAGTGAAGAGGATGTTGCCTCTCCTGGAGTAAGCGGACGCCGTCACCGCAGAGGTGTGTTCGGTGAATGTTGCTATATGGAAGCCAGAAGAGACATCCCAGATTTTGATGAGGCCATCGTCGGCTCCAGTGATGATGCGGGTAGAGTCAGGAGAATAAGTAAGAGTGGTCATGGCATCGAGGTGTGAGGATTGCTTAAGGATGTTGGACTCCGAGGCGTGCTCCCATACAAGTAACTGGCCGGTTTGGGAAGAGCCGAAAGCCAACCATTCTCCTGTTTGGTTGACAGCTACCGCCGAGATGCGCGAGGATGCCATCGAGAGACTGTGAATGTTGGAGCAAGATGGAATCTCGTACAGCGAGAATAGGCCATTATCAAAGCATACTGTCAGTAGATTGGTCGAGGGATGGTAGCAAGCACATCTTAGTTTGGCGTTCTGCATGAAATATTCCCGCTGCACAATCCGCCACCTCTCATCGGAAGGGTCGGTCGAGTCTTCGTCATTCTCTGGTTGGCTCGATTGGTATCCCCAGCGGAACAAAGCCCCGTCTTCGCCCACGGTGTATATTGATTCCTGGTCGGCGGAAAACCAGACATTTCGGACCTGCTGGCGGTGTCCAGAGAGCACAGTCGGCTCGAAACCCTCTTCTGGGTCCAGACTCCATATTCGAGCTGTCAGATCCTTGGAAGCACTGAGGAAGAAACGAGAATCGCCTGACCAGCTCAAATGTCTGATTTCATCAAAATGACCGCCGTACTCTCGGTGCAGGACGAAAGGCGCAAAGTCAAGGTCACCGTCCGTGCCTTGGCCAGGTGTGGTAGGGGTCCTCCATGCTTGTATCTTGCGCCCTATCCCAACAACAAAGTGACGACCATCCGGTGAGAAGGCTAACGAGGCGACTGGAGACTTGAATGAGAAATGGTAGATTGCGAGTCGTCTCGGGAAGATGGACAAGATTGCTCGGCCACTCTCGTCAATGGTCAGGAGGAGGTTGCCATCAGGCGTAAGATCCAGGTGAGTGATATTCTGACGATGCGAAAAGGGGAGAGTATAGCTGGTATTCTTCGTGAGGTTGAACACCGTCACTCGATTGCCCACGGGCGAGAGGAGCGAGTTGCCATCGGGTGTAAAGACCAGATTCCCTCGGCCATAGACTGTGCCCAGGAGGTTAGAGAACTGTCCAACGTGTTAGAGTACTTGACGTAGCTGTGGAGGGCCTCCTACTTACCTTGAATTCCGTCTTCATCCTACCATGGCTGTACGATCCAACTTGGCGCAAGTTGGACGCAATATTCAAACTGCGCCCTGGAAAAAAGTTGTCGGGGCGATCTTTCTTTTCTCCGACACTAGTGCATTTGTGGCAAGGCGGCTTTTTAAGGTTGTGGGGAAGGCACCAAGGAACGTTGGCGTTTCAGGAGCGCGACTTCTGCACTTTTTGTGGTTTGAGTCAATTGAGGAAACCCCTAATAACGCTGGCACTCACTCACTCACTTACTCACCTACCTCCACCTCACTTCTTCAAACTCTCTTACATTGCATCTTGTGCTCGTCGCAACCGCCGTCTAATTGCTTTCGAGTTCTGTGGTCGAGATGGCCCCTCCAGCAGCAGAGTCCCCGTCGCCCATTGGCATTGCCAATCTGCCCAACCAGCGACACAAGATTGTCGCAAAGAGAGGAGCCGCCTTCACCATCATGGTAAGATCTTGTGTACCCTCAGAGCGCGTCGCGATTACTCATTTCCATCGTGCTAGGTCGCTGGCGAGTCGGGCCTGGGCAAGACTACCTTCATCAACACCTTATTTTCCACAACCATCAAGAACTATCAAGACCACAAGAGACGACATGCAAAGCAGGTGGACAAGACGGTCGAGATCGAGATCACCAAGGCTGAATTGGAAGAGAAATTCTTCAAAGGTACATATCACCAGCGCAAAGTTGGACCATCACTCACATGTTGCAGTCCGTCTCACAGTCATTGAC